TACATATTCTTTCCCACCTTTTGAACCTTTTCCATACAGCATCTAGAATGGTCTTGGAAAATAGTGTCAGATCATGTCATTCCCCTGCTGAAACCCCTCCAGTGGTTCTTCCATTGCATTTACATAAAATCTGAAGTCTGACCAGAGCCCACAAGGACCTACTTGTCGGGTGAGACCTAGGCCTACCTCTGTAATCTCACCCCACCACCCTCTTCCTGCTGTATTTTCTTTGTAGCACTTATCACTATCTGGAACTTTTTATTTTTCTTGTTTACTGTCTGACCTACCACCATTCCCAACCCTCTCATCCCAACCCCTGCAGACACCAAGGGGCAGGGGCAGGAATGTGAGTTTGTTCAGCACCATACACCCACACTTGAAGTGTATGCCTAGCATGCAGAGGTGCGGGATTCATAGTTTTGAACGAATGGTGATAAACTGCTTCTTTATATGGGAATCTACCTCTTGGCCGGTAGTCTTCTTGTATCAACCATATTCATAGCTTTGGTTTATTTATTTATTTGAGACGGAGTTTTGCTCTTGTCACCCAGGCTGGAGTACAATGGCATGATCTCAGCTCACAGCAACCTCTGCCTCTTGGGTTCAAGCGATTCTCCTGCCTCAGCCTCCTGAGTAGCTGGGACTACAGGTGTGCACTACTAAGCTCAGCTAATTTTTTTGTATTTTTAGTAGAGACAGAGTTTCACCATTTTGGCCGGGCTGGTCTCGAACTCCTGACCTCAGGCGATCGCCTGCCTCTGCCTCCCAAAGTGCTGGGATTACGGGTGTGAGCCACTGTGCCCAGCCCAGCTTTGGCTTTTAATTTGCAGATCCAGGGATTTCTTTTGAATACCGGCTCAGCTACAGAAATAGAATCCTTAGCTTTGTAAAAATCAGCCACATTATTTTGTATTTTCAAGAATGTCATGTAGTATGCTCCTGAATGCTTCCATGAGATAGATGTAAAGCTGGGTGGTAAAGGGGGGCACGTACTGTTATTTTTCTTGTAACTGTGTTACAGCAGCATTTGTATTTCCTTGTGATCTCTGCCTTCCATGTCAAGGGGGTTGGGAATAACCACCAGCAATACAACATTGCCAACATTTTCTCTTTAGATAGCCTCTTTACCACCATCCGTGAGCAGTAGCTTTTCCTCATCAACCCAGCAGACCTATCCCTGCTGTGGTGATTTCTGGCACTTTCTGCAATCTGAATGGTATCGGTGAACTCTCTAGCTTGGTAGCATTTTTTTCTTCTCAGTTTCCTTCCTTCTCATCCCAACGACCATTTCCCACGAGGAGTTTCAGTCCCTTTGTGAAGTTCAGGTTGACTAACTGTTGAGAGTTTCAAGCATTTTTGGTCTCAGTCCGGATTGATCCAAACCAGGTTTCTAAATGTCCGTACTTAGTTCTAAAGGAGTTTGAAGTTAGAAATGGAAAGAAAGAGAAAAAAAAAGCGAAAAATGAGGGGCACTAAAAAATGGAAAAAGCTGACTGCTTCTAGACCTAAATGATAAAAGACAAAATTGGAAAAGGCTTTGAGCAATAAGTCCTCTAAAAACATCCAGTTCATGTGACTTAGCCAAGTGGAAATGAACAAGAATAAGAACGTGTCCTTCTCTTCTGTGGTTTCAGATAATTGCAAGGTCGCTTTAAGGGAAGAAAAAGAGGCACGGAGGAAGAGAAAGCAAAGCATCAAGACAGGCTTGAAGGTAGTTTTTGGGAAATAACGTAGTATATGTGCTGAAATGTGGAACTTAGTGGAAGCGAATAGAACAGAAACTTACCAAGTTTTTAAATGAGGTAAATTGCTGTGAAACCATGAATCTGGAACCAAAGAGTTTTCGAGTACTGAGTCCTAAAACCAGTTTCAGGCCACCATACTTGCACCAGAAGGCTGGCTATTGAAGCTGGGTAACCCCCAAAGGTGGCATTCTCCTCAATATCCACCGTAGATATGGCCATGGTGGATAATGGAAAAGGGAGACCCTTCAAAAGGGAAGAGTCAGAGATCACAGAGGACAGTGACAAAGGAGCTCTTCTCAGAAAACAGAATCAGAGTTGAACAGAAGAACTTAGTTTGAGCCCTTCATAATGCTCTCCCAGCAGGATTTCAGAATTGCTATGAACCATAGTGGCTGAGTATGTTTTCCTCCTTTTCAAATAAGGGTTTTAATTTGCTGATACTCTGTCCCTCCGTCACCATCTTATATTGGGTGTGTGTAGAGTAGGGGCTGGGTCTGGAGGCAGATGATTTTTCTTTTTAGTTCATAGGTCACTGGACCACCAAGAGACATGATGGAGAGTACTGGAACATTGAGCTTTGACCTGTATGTGGTAACAGGGTAAGATAAGCGTGGAGGAAGACTGAAACAGGTATTTAGTAACAAGAAGAGCAGACCGTGTTAGAGACTGGTGGAGTTGATCAAAGTCTGTTTCCTTTGCCTTCTACCTGCAGAGCTAGCCTACTTCCTTGACGTTAAATGGAGTCATGGGACTCAGTTCTGGCCAATGGAATATGTGGGAATTGAAGTACCATACTTCTATTTTTGACTCCTGCAAATCTTCTTGAGATCCTCCATGCTTTAGAGAATTTGCTGGAGGGCTCTGTGGCCTCAGGGATGGCAGAGACGCGAGATGGAAGAATTCTGGGTCCCTGAATAATCTTGTGAGGCAGAGGCTCTGACATGCTTTGGAATATGCCATGAACAGGAAATAAGAATTAAGTGTGTCAAATAATCTAGCAAACAAATCTTTACTTTATTGAGATTTTGGAATCACCTATTATCACAATTAGTCTACCTTGTTCAATGCAGCCATTAAAGCTACTTGCAATGAAACATATAGGATATGTGTTGGTTTTACCTATTACCCTCCAATTTTTTTTCACCAAATAATTGTGGAAGACTGATATGGTTTGGCTGTGTCCTCATTCAAACCTTAACTTCAGTTGTATCACCCAGAATTCCCACATGTTGTGAGAGGGACCCAGGGGGAGGTAATTGAATCATGGGGGCTGGTCTTTCCCATACTGTTCTGGTGATATTGAACAAGATCTGAAGGGTTTATCAGAGGTTTCTGCTTTTGCTTCTTTCTCATTCTCTTTTGCTGCTGCCATATAAGAAGTACCTTTTGCCCTCCACCATGATTATGAGACCTCACCAGCCATGTGGAACTGTAAGTGCAATTAAACCTCCTTTTCTTCCCAGTCTCAGGTATGTCTTTATCAGTAGTGTAAAAATGAACTAGTATAAAGACCTTTGTAGCTAAACCCCTACTTTTGATTGAGACTGAATTTTCTCTTATGGCCCACATTGTTCTTTTTTTCTGAAGTTAGTCAGTCACCAAGTATTACTGAGTGTCTAAACTCAGATCAACTACTTACTAGCTATGTGACCTTAAGCACGTGTTAGCTTGTTTGTGCCTCAGTTTCCATAAAATGGATATAGTAATAGTACTTATCTTTTTTGTGAAAATTAAGTAAATTAATCAATATGTAGTGCTTAGCAGAGCAGCTGGCACATAGTAAGTGCTCAATAAATGTTATAACATCGGGCTGGGCGTGGTGGCTCAGGCCTGTAATCCCAGCACTTTGGGAGGCCGAGGCAGGTGGATCGCGAGGTCAACAGATCGAGATCATCCTGGTCAACATGGTGAAACCCCGTCTCTACTAAAAATACAAAAAATTAGCTGGGCACGGTGGTGCGTGCCTGTAGTCCCAGCTACTCGGGAGGCTGAGGTAGGAGAATTGCCTGAACACAGGAGGCGGAAGTTGCAGTGAGCCGAGATCGCGCCATTGCACTCCAGCCTGGGTAACAAGAGCGAAACCCCGTCACAAAAAAAAAAAAAAGAAAAAAAAAGTTATAACATCATTGTCATTATCATCATCATCAGTTGCTAGGTATGTGCTTGGCACTACAAACAGCACTGAATGAGATATACAAGATTTGGTCTTCTGTGAGATGTCTGCTTATTTCAGGAGCCTTATTTTTGATCTTGCACTTGTTCAGCATAGTCTCTATCAAATACTTAATTTGAAGAGAAGGGTTTTGCCTCCCTCTAATCAACTCCAGGAAACACTGATTACAGTTGAAGATGTTCTCTGTCAAGCTGAGTGTTCTGAGTCAGTGTCCGTGTTCTGTTTAGAGGCTGTGAATGCAGTATTTGTCTATACCCTGTGGCAATTGGAGTGGGAGGAACAGAGGAAGGTTAGCATCCCTGTCGGTGGAAGGAACTACTTTCTGATCAGAGCCACTTCCTGCCTGGATTGACTTCCCTATAGCCACTTCCTACTTAGAATGCTAAGATAAAAACAGCTGCCACTGTACCTACAGAAGAACACTTTCCTTCTTTTTCTGTCCCTGTTCTCAAGGTACACTGCCTAGCCATCTCACTTCTGATGGTGTACAGGCAACCCTGGCAAGACCCAGCCGGTTTAGAATCCTTTCCCTTCTTTATCAACCTATGAGAACAGAGGCTGAACTTAAACCAGCGATGGCCTCATCCAGCCCCCACTCCATGCATCGAGATGCCTGATTTACCTGGATGCCTGAGTTAATGTCCTTTTGCTCATGCTGCTGGTGTGTGTCATCTCCTTATCACACACCCTTCAGTGAGGCTAACTAGGCGGGCACACCCACTTGCCTTGGCATGTTTTGTGGACGACCCAAGCTGCAAACGTCAACATGTATAAGGCATATGCTCTCTTCTTTGTGTAATTTCAGGCACCAAAATATGCCTACACAGAGGGGTATATGCATACAGACACATGCGTATTCTTTTTTTGCCTGGTAGAAATATACTTCTGTGATGTTCCTTCAACTCCCACACATGCCCCTCCATGGCTGGCACATCTCCTAATGATTCCCATCTACTCCCTCCCATAGACCTTTTGCATGTATATTTTGGCACACATTTTCTTGGTTCTGCCTAGTTCCTTTCTCTCTTTCTTTCTCTACGTCCCTCCCTCTCCCTCCTCTTCACAGCTTTTAGGAAAATTTGTTAAACTATACACTCTTTATTATTAATGTACATTTATGAAAAATTCTTCACAGTTACAAAAGTGCATGGTTATAAAATCATCTCCATACAAAGGTTGGCATCTTCCCTCTAACCCCGCCCCCCCAGCCCTCCCACCCCTAGACATTAGCACATTACAGGACAGTGCTTAGAAAAACTGAGAGCTCTGTGGATCCAGCTCTCCACCCAGTGCTGTGACAAACACAATAGTGATTTACAAAGGACTGTGTGACTCCCTAATTTCCCTTTTGTGTCTTCCTGGGGTGGGGAAGAGCAGACAATTTTCTCTGGCTTTAGGAAGATGTCCTTTTGAGGAATGGATGAAGATGTATCTTTTTACTCCTCTACTGCTGGAAAGGATGTCAGCAAAGACACCTATGGGGGAAATGGAAGCTGGGAGGTCTTCCCTTGTGGTTAAAGACAAACACCTGTCTTGATCTGTTCAAATTTCATACATGTACCTCCTTGGAAGGAGCCATGAACCTCTATAGCAACTCTGGGTTCCTATTTCCACAAAGTTCCCTGGGAATTCCTCTAGGAATGGGGAAAGAGAGATGAGGGTTTGTCTAAATGGGGACCAGAGATAACTGGTGTGATTCAGATATGAGGGCTCTTCTAGAAAGGAGTTTTCTTGGCCCAAACCTTGACCAGAGGATACCTTTGATATCCTCTGGTCCAGCATGGAGGAAGCTTCTGCAATGAGGACTTCTCTGAGGGGCAGGAGAGAACAGAGGGAAGCAGCCAGAAGTCAGCTTCTCATTTGGATGACCCTGCCACAGATTTTTCTCCTTCTGTATTTTCTGAGCATTCAGTCCTACCCTAAACCTGGTGGGGTTCCATCTTAGTCTGTCAAACAATGTAATATTAGGTTAGCGCAAAAGTAATTGCGGGTTTAGCTATCAGTTTTAATGGCAAAAACCACAATCACTTTTGCACCAACATAAATAAGCAGATGGCTCAGTGGACGATGTCAGAGAACTGAACCCAAATTCCAGAGAGATCTGTCCTGTGTCAGCAGACCGCCAATACACAAGGAACCTCACAGACAGACATACAGATGCAGAGATACTCCATCACATACATATTAACCAGTTTGGACAATTTGAATGAAGCCTTGTGGTTACCAGGGATGTGGGAGCAATTGCAATGAGGATTGCTAGATTATCTTTAGAAGCTTGCTTCTCATAGCTTGGACAAGCTGACGGTAGTGGGGGAGAAGCAGGGAATTCCTTGGCAGTAGGTGGGTTGAATACTTTTCTCATTATGCTCTAGTAAACTGGGGCGCTTTTAGCAGCAGGAGAAACATCTGTCCTTTAAAAGCCATGTATCCTGCTCAGAAAGGTTTGGCATTAATGGAGACCAGATTGTCCCACTAGAAAGGACAGTTGATGTCAAGGGGGCATTTGGTGTCTTTTCTGGTTCTAGTCCTATGCAAAAAAAGTATCTATCTTAAAAGATATCAACTATATTTTGGCAAACAATAGTTCCTAGGAGATTATTATAGTATATGGTATCCGTCTATGGGAAGCTTTTCTATTTTGTCAGGATTATAGTTTCTAAAAGTTCCTCTCCAGGTATTTAGGCTGTCAGCCTGGCTTGTTAGAGAACAGCTCGAGTTCGCCATCCTTGATCATCACAGAAGAGAGCAGGGCACAGTTCTGCTTTGGATATCAGATGTTGTAAGCAAGGTTCAGGGGACACACGTTCAAGTACCTCAGGTCTAGCAGAGTTTCTGAAGACTCTTTTGGTTGACTAGCTCAGGGAAGCACAAGTGAGGGATGCCTTCCTGGAAGATGGCATGTTATCCTCCTTCATTTCTTTGAGGCTTTCCAGGAGGATGGGATGATGGAATACTGCTGGAGCTTGGGGCAAGGTAGGTGGAAAGCCCCTGTTTTAATTCTCCTCCTGGCCAGCTTATCAGCATGTTTGGCTGTGCCTTAATGCTCTTCTCCTAAACTGCAGAGGTTCTCACCTGTAGCTTTCTTGCTCTTTTAGTATCTGTTGCAACACATACAGCAGGGCTTGAGTAGGAAGGGTTAACACAGTTTCCTCTCTCGATTCCCAAAGATCTAATTTTTCATGTGACTGCCTCCATGGCCACCAGTGCTGATGTTTTATCTACCCGTTGTAGAGCAGGAGTCTCCTATTCAGACGTTACCTGTGTAATCTCTGTTTCAGAGCCTGCAATTTGCCCTACCGGGAGCTTAGCTCAATCTGTACAGCAGATGGGTTGCCTGCCTTCTATTTAGCTGACCTACTAGCACATTCATGGCTGCTGAATTCCAGGGCCCCATCACCCAGCCCTCTGAGGCATTCTCTTCCCCAAGCACTTGGGAAAGCACAGGAAAGAGAACCGTGTAGGGTTGAGTCCCAACCTTGCCACGTAGACAAGTCATATCCAACCTTGAGACTGTTTTTCCCATCTGTAAAACAAGATTACTGATGTTTCATTTACCTCCCGCACAGGGTTGTGAAAAGTCACGGAGAACGATGTGAAAACACTCGTGAACTCTCTGGTGCTGAACAAATAGAGGGAAGATAATGATGACACCGAGGAAACTGATGAAGAAGACAACGATGATGATAATTGTGCTTTGCTCGTAAAGTGACTTGATTTTTGACTGACTGATTAGATGCAGTTTCCCTGAATGGAGTTGCCTACCACTTTCCTTCTAGGGCTCATCCAGACAACTCTGGATAAGTCACTCAACTCTCTACAATTAATTCATCTGTCAAATGGGGATAATAAAAACCACCAGGCAGTGTTGCTGGGAGAATTGAAAGAAGCAAGTCAGGGCCAGGCATGGTGGCTCAAGCCTGTAATCCCAGCACTTTGGGAGGCTGAGGCAGGTGGATCACGAGGTCAAGAGATCAAGACCATCCTGGTCAACATGGTGAAACCCCGTCTCTACTAAAAATACAAAAAATTAACTGGGCATGGTGGCGCGTGCCTGTAATCCCAGCTACTCAGGAGGCTGAGGCAGGAGAACTGCCTGAACCCAGGAGGCGGAGGTTGCAGTGAGCCAAGATTGTGCCATTGCATTCCAGCCTGGGTAACAAGAGCGAAACTCTGTCTCAAAAAAAAAAAAGAAGCAAGTCAATAGATATCGAAGTGCCCAGAGGAGTACCTGGACCTTATTAGAAACTTTGTCATCTCTAGTTGAATTTGAATTTATACAACTCAAGAGGGAATGGTGATGCTCCCCATCTTGGATGGGGCAGTACAAAGAGCACAGACTTTATCTTGCTTATAGTGGCATGTGACTTTAACCTCGCTGAGCCTTAATTACCTCATCTGTAAAATGGGAACAACAGCATTCAGCTCAATCTGTGTGTATGTTAAAGGGAATGGTTTGTGGAGAGAGCTTTTCACAGAGCCTGACACTGGCGGGGACTCAGTATTTAACAGCTCTCTCGCCCTTATGCTTATGTGGGTGAGTTGCTTAGAAGAAAATGCAAAGCCTCATATGGTCATAACTGTGCTGCTTTTGTCCTCTTTAAGCTCTGGGTACTGCCAGGCCATGGGCCAGTGGCCCACACTGCACTTTCCTGGTGACACCCTGTGGCATGAGCACCGTGGCACCAACGGTCACATGACGACGGTCCCAGGATGCCGGGACTTTTGCTGCCCCAGTTGCTGGGCCTCCTGCCTCTCTCTTCTGAAGCCAATCATGAGTAAGAGGCAAGAGAAAGGGCACTGAAAGTGTCCATCCTCAGCCTGCTGCCTGGGACATCACCAGCCAGTGACAATTGGTCATATGGGGGCAGTCACTGGGAGGTGGTTTCACCTGGTAGCTGCTGGTGGAAGGAGGCCAGGGCTGGCATGGAGGTGTTCGTACTCCCTGGAGGCAGTGGCTGATTGCTGAGAGCTGACCGTTTTGGTGTCAGAGGGTGGGGAGTAGGTTTGAGTTCTGTGCCACACCCCCTCTATACAAGTTTGTGACCAGGAACTGTTCATCTTCTCAACACCATGCACTATGCCTACTCTGGCCTCTGCCATTTGCAGACACTCTTTGTTGCCTACCTTACAAAGTAGATATTTCTTGATGACCCAGTTCACAAATCACTCCACTCTTACAAATCTCATGGACATTGCTAGACACAGATGACAGTTCCTCCTGGGCATCCATAATGATGTGCTCAGAGTCCTGACATGGTCTTAAAGGGAATAGTTTTTGGATCTCTCTCCTTGACCAGGGGTAATTACCTTGAGGGCGGGGACTGAGTCAATTAATCTGATGTTCCCAGTCCCTAGCGCACTGCCTGGCCCAAAGCAGATGCGCATACAAAGTGAGCGTCCCCACCTTGCTTGAGCCATGACTGAGGCAGCCAGGTCACCGTGGAACCAGAGTGGGCTGTCAGGGTGGGCGTCTGGTGGTCAGCGGCTGTAGCGGACAGCAGCATGGAAGGATGAGAGGCAGCCATGTCAGATCTCTTCCTCTTCACTGGCCTTGCTCCAGCGGTGGCAGCAGTTGGCGGTGATGCCCAGGAGGAAGTTGGTGGCCACAGAGGCGATGGACACCACGAAGCCCACGAACGCAATGAACAGGTAATCATCCAGGGTCAGGGTCAGGTGGCAGGCCTTGAAGCTCTCCTCGGTGAGTGAGAAGAGTGGGGCGCCCTCGACTTCAGGGGGGCCCCGGCACTCAGCCAGCTGAGAATCTGTAACACAGAAGCCAGGGAGGGTGAGGTACCCAGAGACGGAGAGGGGATTGGAGAACCCCTTAACCCCAACTGCTCCCTGGAAAAAGGAAGGAAGACATTCACTGCGGTTCTTCTGTGTGCCAAGAATCCTATAATCTTCTTTAGTTCCCTCGACAACTCTCAAGGCAAGGATTTTTATGTCTATTTCTACAGATGTGGAGAGCACTGGTTGAAGAGTTCAGCAATTCGCTGAAAGTCATATGGCTTTGACCCGTGGTAGGTCTGGGGACACCATTGTCTCTTACCATAACCTCCTGACTGGTTTCTGGGCTTCTCAAGGTGTCTGCCCTCATCCTGCAGCCTAGAACCTCACCAGCAGGTGACAAACCATTTCAATACAGTCAGCGGAGTGGTTCTCTCAAGCCTGAAGTCCTGGCATGCCTTCTCTACTTGAAACCCTTCCCTGGCTTCCTGTCTTTGAATCAAGCAAAAGCCAAAGTGCTCCCTGTGGGCTCCAAGGACTCTTGCCCAGCTCTCCCACTACATTCCTTGTACATTCTGCTCCAGCTGCATATACCTCCTAGTTATTCTTCCACGTCCCCAGAGTGTCCCCTCCAGAGGTGGGCAAGGGATGCTTTTGCATTTGTCCCTTTGGGAGGGAGTTTCTCCCCTTGACCTCTGCACAGGCTCAGCCCCCCAGTTTCTTTGGGACTTGGCTCAATGCCACATTATTAATGAGTCCTTCCCTCTTAATGACTCTAAATAGCACACCCCTTTCATCTCCCCCTGGGCTCCCAACCTTACCTGCTTTGCTCTATTTTTCTATGTAGTGTTGATCACTGCCTGAAAGTTTATTGGTTTCTTTTCTGTCTTCTCCCCTTTTCATGTAAGCTCTTCCCATGGAATCTTTAGCATGAGAACAGTGTCCTTTCTACATTAAGTGCTTGCTGAATCTTTACAACATGAATACAAGACTCTGCCCAACTCCGAAGCCTTGGGTCTTTCTACTACTTATGTGGCTTTTCTGGATATGCAGAGTATAGGGTTAAAAGTATGGATTCTGGAGCTATTGGTCTAGTTTCAAATCCCCTCTTCACCCCTTGCTGGTTGCACGGTTATGGGTAACTTATTTAACCCCTCTGTGTCTTGGCTTCTTCATTTGTCAAATGAGGGTAATAACAGTATCTATTTCTTAGGGTTGTAGTGAGAATTCAGTGAGTCGACAGAAATGAGTTATATGTTATATATTAGTGTAATATATGTAATATATAACATATATTTCAGTTATATAAATTATTATATTGGTTAGTTTCCCCAGACAGGTCATTGGGGGTCATAGTCTGCACTCAGGCTTCTGAGGGAGGGGGCTGCTTTTTCCTGGTGGGGTTACTGTTATCTGCAGCCTTGATGATCTCACCTCATCCTTCTGGGGTTGCTTTTATGAATGCACAATGGCTGTTAACGGTCTTATCTCACTCTGCCTGGGAAGTCAGGGTAGTGTGCAGGCGGCCCTCTTGCCATGCAGTGGTCGGCACTGGCTTTCCTGCAGCCAGTCATCCCTTTGTTCAGTGGAATAAGTATTAATTAAACTCTTACCTTGGGTAAGTCTTTTTTCTTTTGGTATTTCTGGCTCTCGTGCTCTGCCTCTATAAGGAAGGGCCTCTATAAGAAGGGGATAATCCAATCTAAATTTTCTGAGAGTCAGTAAGAAGACATTTTCTAAGTTATGCATTGTATAAATGCTATGTATTTATTCTGCAGTTTTTGAGGGCAAGGAATCAAATGATGCATTTGGATTGACCCTTTTGAGAACTGAATCAGCATCAATATCCTTGGAAATGGGGAGTCAGGTTTGGAAGGAGAACACAATCCTCCCCAAATCCCAGGTTGAGTGGTCTCTGGAGGCTGTGACCCCAGGACCTGTGCCCTACTCAGGCCTGGATCCTGTCTGGGGTTGACTCGCATGACTCCTCTGGAAATCTGAAGAGGCTGAACTCTAAAGTCTATTATGTATGTGAAGCTGGTAGTGCTGAGACAGTGAGATGGGGAATGTGGCGAAACTCATATGGACCAGCCAGAGGAGCCCCTGACAGTCATCGGTGGGACCACACAGGACACAGGATGGGAACGTGGAGGCTGACAAAACCCGCTGGTAAGTCAGGGCACCAGTCTTAAAGCCATGCTGTATCCCAGGGGCTGGCTTATGGACCTCTTTGTTCAATTTTTCCAAAAACCATGGATAATAGTGGAGTCCCACAAAGAAAAATGGAGGAAACAGTTGAAGGGACCTAAAGGGAGGAACATCACCTGGTTCTGTCCACACTGGCAAGTTTTTGTCCCTAAGAAGAAGCACCCTGGTGAGTATGGGCTGGTGTAAAGTGTGTTCTGTGGAGGAGCAGGGAACCTGAGTTTCCAGCTGGGCCTGCCAACTTTCTCATCATGAGCCTGTGGACAGCCACTGTCCCCCTCTGGAGCTCAGGTTCCTCACCTGTACTGATGTGTGAGGCTACATTGATGAAATCTTGGACGCCTCTCCTTCTTGTGCGAGTCTGATCTTCTGCAGGGCAGCAGGGACCTCAGAGATCACAGAAAAGGAGTCCCTGGGTGTGGTGGAAGCTGAGTGCTTCGGTGCTTTTTCTGTTATTAGTGCACAGGAGACAGAGGGAAGGCACGGCCTGCCGAGGTTGAGCAAGTGGGGAGACTGCTCCAGGCAGCCTCCCCCTGCTGCCCTCCACCATCACCCCGACCCAGTCCCCAGCTATTTTGGTGCTAGAGAATTTCCTCCTACAGCTCCGTGGAAACACTGGAATCGTGACCCACAGCACTCCCCAAACTATTTTGGTCTTGGGCTCCCCACTCAGTCCTCCTCCCTGTTACCGCATTCGGCATTGCTTCTTCTCAGCACGTGCTGAGCTCAGGTTCTGGGAAAGCCCTGGGGTAGGGCCTTCAGCTACTACTTCTGGTGCTTGTGCCAAGCCTTGGTGCTGTCACACAGGAGGGCTGGTGGCTAGGGCTGCAGCTGAACATCGCCTGCCTCTGGGTCAGGCTCGTATGCCACTGGGTTGGGACAGCCATCAAAACCAGTGCGATTTGGGCTCCTTCAGGCTCCAGCCCACCCTCCGGTTGGGACTGGCTGGCTGAGTTGCCACATCGCAGTCTTTCTCTCAGCTCCCTACCCTGTGCCCAGAGTTTACACTGCTCAGAGCCTTGAATCGGAGGAAGGCCAGATTCTCATAGCTGAGGTCCAGGTCTTGAAGCTGTATGAGGTCCTGGAACTCTACTGCAGCCCTTTGGCCAGTCCAGGACTCAGGCTCTGACTCTTCCGGTAGGCCAGAACCTGACTCTTCGGGATATAGTCAGGGAGACTGCTAGGACTCAAATCCTGGCTTCAACAATTAGCAGCTGTGTACCTTCAAATGAGCTACTGAACCTCTCTGTGCCTGTTTCCTCCTCTGTAGAGTGGGGACCTCATTAGTGTTCTTCTGGAGATAGGGAGAGATAGGTGCAGGTGCTTAGGAGAGGGCCCGGTAAATAGGAAGTACTAAGGTCTCAAGTTCCTCCTGGAATGTGTTGGTTGGCATGGGACTGAAGTTGTAGCTCTGCTGAGATTGAGTTAGCCATTACTATTTATACGAGCGTTTTCCAACACATGGAATGCTACGAAAGCAGTCTGGTAGAATAGAACAGGGCTTAGAAGTCAAATCATGGTCCTGACGCTTTTTTGATTTTTATATTTGTATTGTTTTTTTCATGGCCCTGCCACTTTCTAAGTGCATGATTCTAGTCAAGCCTTTTTATTGTCCTAAATCTCAGTTTCTTCACCCAGAAATGAGTATAATAAAAATGGGGGTCCCATAAGATCATGCATGCTAAGATCTTGGGTCATGGTGAAAGCTCAATCAGAACCACCCCGGATGAGCTACTCCCACTCGTTTATTACCTGTCTGCCTCATTAGGTCGTGAGCACCACAGCGGTGAAGGACATCTATTTCATGAATGAATGGGCCCTTAGTGCCTCACCACGCATTGCAAGGATTTGACAAACAACCTGTTGACCAAGCTGGTGTACAAAGAGGCAGGCCCACGTTACAAAACACAGTAGGTGCTTTCCGGCTCTAAGTCTCTCCCCTTTCTTTGGAGCCTATGCTTCCATTGAGGCAAGCCCTCCCTGTTGACTACCCCCTCTTGCCCCCCCATTACCTGCTGTACAGCGCTGGATCCGGTTTCGCAGCCACTTCAGCAGAGGCTCCATGGTGCAGCCGCACACCCAGGGATTGCCGCCGATCTGCAGGGTCACCAGCCCCGGTAGACCCTCAAGAGCCTCGAGGCTGAGGAAGGACAGGCCCCCATAGCTAAGGTCCAGGTCTCGGAGCTGCACAAGGCCTTGGAAGGCGTGGGGGTGCACCCTCCGCAGCCAGGGGTTGTGGCTAAGGTCGATGTGAACCAGCCCATGGGCCTCTTGGAACATGTCGGCTGGCACGTGGCTGAAGTTGTTGTAGCTCAGATCCAGGTGTGCCAAGCGTTTGGCATGGAGGAAGAGGTCCCGGGGCAGCTCCATCAAGGAGTTGTTGCGCAAATCCAGCACCCGGAGCTCCACGTAGCATGTAAGGTAGCCAGGCGGCACCGCTGCGATGCGGTTGTGGGCCAGGCTGAGGTTGCGGGTGTCCATTGGCAGATCTGGGGGCACGGAGAATAGCCGCTGGCTGCTACAATCCACCACCTGGTTATGGCATGTGCAAAGGACTGGGCAGCTGGTGCCAGCATCCGAGTGCATCAACCCGGCTGCCAGGAGGAGAGAGATCAGCAGCATCGCTGGGTGGGGTGGCCCGGGCCAGGGAAGCTGGGCCCAACTGTCACCCATCTTAGGCAGCTGACAACAGCAGTGCTGGAGGGAGCCCATGAGGACCGTGTTCATGGAATCGAGAGTCTTTGACACAGGAAGGCAGCTACATCAGGGGCCAGCATCTGTGAAGGTGGGGTTTCTGAGCATGTGGTATCATGGCTAGAGACTTTCCCAGGAGCCTCTGAGCACCAGAGGGCTTCCTGAGATCCACGGTCAGTCCCCTTCAGGAGCCTAGGGGGCAAGAAACCCCATCGAGGTCCCCCAGGATCTTGAATGATGATCAAAACCTGAAAGAGGGAGGGGACGAGATGGGGCTGGGTCAGCTGCCAGCAGGTCCTGGAAGAGTTCCCGCAGATGCTCTGTGTGTCTCTCACCCATGCCTGCTGGACGTTCCCTCTTGGTGCTGCATCTGGGAGGGAGGGGCTGAAGGAGATGAAAGGTGCCCTTTAAAGATCCTTGGCATTTCTTCTAAGAAAACTTAAGTCCTGTCCCATGTCTGGGACTGATTAGGAAGCCAGGGCTGCACCTGGATCTCCAGTGTTGAAGGTCTCAGAGGCCATTTGTCCTGGTGGCCTGCTGGGCTTGAGTCCAAGGGGGTCCCAGGGTGGGTGTTTTGGGAAGAGAGCCCGGGAGGAAGTGAGTCTCCATGAGCCTCCTCAGCCTCAGTGGCTGCTGGAATCCCCAGGGAGCCTCTTTGTTCCCCAAAGAGAGGAGGACCCCAGGTGGTGCCCACTGTCTGGGCCTCTGGGTCCAGAAGAAACCATGAGTCCTGAAGGTGCAGGCTGGTTTGGCAACTTCTCCAAGTCAGCGCCTTCCTCAGCGCAGCTCTGTATTCAGCAGGTGGAGGCCGAATTCCCTCTGTCAACAAGGAAAGCACTCAGGCAGAGAAATCCTGTGCCCTGCACGCCACCTTGTCCCTTCACCTAGGACCCTTGTCTTATCTCTGTCTCTTTCTTTCCTCCCTTCTTTGGTCCCCCAACCACAAAGTTCTCTGCTGACTGTCTCTCAGGTGTGGGCCATGGCAGGTTGATACCCCACACTCACATTGCTGTCACCCGCGAGCCCTCCCTGACCCAACCTGCAGCCCTTCTCCTCTGGGTTTCTCTCTTGGGTTAAATGGATTTTCTTCTTCTTTTCATAACCCCACCCCCATCAGTACCAAACACACCATCCTGGAACAACTCCCTAAGGAAAACATGCATCCACACTCTGGGGGTTTGCACACGCCTTTCAAACCCGCTCCTGTCTCCTCTTACACACACACACACACACACACACACGCACGCACAGGCGCGCACACCATTCTTCTGTGACTCCCCCATATTTTGCCCTGCCCCGCGCTCACGCCCGGGGGTTTTCGCTCCAGCTTCCTTCTGCACAGGCGATCCTGCTGACCCCTCCCCAGTGGACCCCCAGCATCTCTCCCCCCCGACCCCCCCAGCGCACACCCCTCATCGCAGCACCCCTTTTCATACGCTGCACTCTCCTGCTCGCTGCCCCCAGCAGAGCGACCGAGAGTGATGCCGCGCCCAGAGCCTAAGACCTCGCGCCCGAGACCCGGGCCCTCTCGCGCCTCCCTTGCCCACCTGCTGTGCTCGGTCCTCCCCTCACCCTTGGTCTGGCGCTATTTTCCTACCGCTTGGAGCCTCAATCCCGCCCACCGGGAAATCACCCCAGCTCCCCTGCATGCAGACTCATTTTTCCGGAGTCCCAGGTCTCACCCTGCACTCCCACAGGCCCCTTGAGCCTACTCACTCCGTTCCAAGGACACAGCCACCAATCTGCGGCAGGCAGACTCGGGTCTCCCTCCCTCCTCCTGGAATCCCCGCTCGCTCCCTGCTTGCTTCAGAACAGATTGCTTCTCCGGCTCTTCCCCTCCCCCGGCCTCTCCTCCTCCTCGTCTCCCGGATTCCTGGCCAGCATCTTCCGTGATTTCCCGTCCTGTGGTCCCCCTGCCCCTTCTTTCACCCCAAAGGAAAATCGCAGAGAAAGGATGTTTGGAAGAAAGTTCACAGAATCCTAATGCTCCTTTCTGAAACTCAGCTAGTGCCCAGGCTGCTGGGGTATAAGGCTTCCGCCAGGGCCAGGTCTTTCCCCTCCCTCCCCCCTTCCTGCACTCTCCCTCTCCCTCCCTCCCTCCTTCCCCCTCTTCTCTCCCTTTTTCACTCCCCGTTTTTCCTCGAGGGCCAGGTACTGACGTTTCACTGTCTCTTAGCAACTGCCTCCACATCTCTGAGCAACAGGAGAACTGGCTGTGGACCCCACCACGAAGAGAGAGGAGAGAAGGAAGCACCCAGCAGAATTCACAGCCTCCCACAGGATCCTGAGGATAGGGCGAGGGGAAGAAGGGGAGATGAGGGTAGGCAACTGGACAGGAGCAGAGAAAGAGGAGCAGGCAGGGAGAGAGGGTTAAAAGGCCCAGTGGGAGAGGTTGTAGTAGGGGCAAGGCGTGAACCTGGAATTGGAGACAGAGGAGGGACAGCTTAAGGACATCGGACCCAGAAGGAAAAACTAAGAGGGCTTGCAGTGAAAGGAGAAAGGGACTTAGTGGAGGATGTGTGGGGTGGGTGGGGAGTGAAGAATGGGGGCATTGAAGACAGGAATAAGAATAAGAAACAAAAAAGACATGCGCATATGACAAGTTTGCTCACTTGATGGGATATATCTTTGTAGTGGGCACATAAAGTCTACTTAACCTGGGTTGGAATGTATTTGAGGCTCCAGGTACCAGGTGATTGACTCACGGCTTGTTAGGGACCATTATCACAGGAGAGACCTTTTTTATGATTGTCCCTAAGTCCTGACCCCATGGGCTCTCTGGGGCTAGGAGGCTTGGCTGGAGCATACCAATTTCCCCTTGGCTTGGGGTATGAGAAACTTTGGGATCCAAAAGGCCAACTTCTTGGCCAGTTGGGAGCACCTGGGGCTGCACAGACACTTGGATCTGTCAAGGGGAAAGGAACCTTCTGATCCTTTCTTCTTTCTCCAGGCCCAAGGGATTCTGTCTGTTCTGTCCTTTTAAGCTTCCTTGGAGTGACTTCAGATGAGGATGAAATTTGTGCAATGTCTCTTTTCTCACTGACCCATTGAACAAGTCTCTAGCTGTCCTGCACTTTAAAAAATTGTCTTGACCGGTTGGTTTTCTCAAAGAGCCGGCTTAATTCTTTGCTTAATAAATATTTATTAAGCATTCACTCTATGCTAGGTACTTGGCCAGATGGTGGGCAAGAAGATGGACGTAGACTCCTCCTTCCTGGTGCTGCTTCATTCGGGTGACCTGGGGCTTCTTGCATTGAAGCAACAGCTTCGGTCTTTGGGGGAGCCAAAGTGGAGTAATAGCAAACAACAAGTGTGAAGTTACACAGAATCTGGGCATTTATAAAGTTCTCAAAATCACGGTCATTGTCTTCTCTACCATGATTCTTTTCCTATGTGCCTGTAGAACGTCAGGTCCCTCTGTTCTCTCAGATACTCATTTTGAATCTTTCATCTTCTGTAGTCTCTGACACAGAGTAACATGGCAGCCACTCTGTATTTATATATCAAGTTGACTTAGGTAAATGAGATTTCACCCCCTGCTTAAAAAAGGCAGTGTTTGTTCAATCTCATTTATGAGTTTAGAAGGAAAATATTCATCTTAACCCAGAAAACACAACACAATGAAACAAGTAATCCATTCTAACTGAGGACTGTTGGCCTCTGGAAGGCAAAGCTAGCGACCTATGTTATTAACTGGAAAATGGTGGAAAACGTGATTATCTGGTTGGATTATTTCCCCTTCCTCCCTATTCTCAGCTCCTTTACCTCCTCTTCCTAAAAAAGCTATTCAGCACAATTCAATTTTAGTGTTGACTAAAGGTAACTTATGAAGATTGTCTTCCTTTACATGATATGAAGTTTATATTTAAAATTAGGATTAATAATATAACTAAAGGAAAATATTAGTGACTGTTTTCCTTAAAAACATAGGATCTAGGTAAGAACACTTCATCACCATTTGCAACTCAGTTTTCTGACCTTTGACATAGGGATTATGGCACCTAAGTCAGAGGGTTGTTAGATATATGAGCTGTGATAAATAACACACATAGAGCACGGTACAGTGAGCGGTGCAGATGGTTTGTCAAATGAATAAATAAATAAACAAATAGCAGAGTTTAAAATCTCTGAAATAATAATGCAGAAAGAACAACAAATAAATTGCTCAACAAATAAAAAGTCAAGAAAGGAGAATATTACATTTGTGGGTGATTTGAGCGTATCCTTGTGCAAATAACTTGCAAAACCTCCAGAAGCCCCTAATTCAAGAACATTATCATTGCGTGTATCTTCTGTAAAAGTGAGGTGCCATGAGACAGAAATATTCTATATGACTTTTTACCTGTAATCATTTTATGAATCATTACGGGATTTTTGAATTTCAAATTGGTGTCCCAAGGTACATTACGTGCCATGAGGTTCCTAAATAAGTTTGAGAAACACTGAGTTAAACGAAATGAAACGAGTTTATTTATTGTAAGATTTCTCAGAGGCTTTAAAGTGTAAATGGTTAGGGCCAGTCTACAAGTGACAGCATTGGGGAATAGGGATATGTAATATCCAGCATTTCCTAAACTTATTTGGGATCTGTAATTTTCTTTTATCTTCTGCTCTCCCTCCCCTGTTGCCTTTCCCTCTCCCCTTCCTTCCTATTCTCAGTTCTTTTACCTCCTCTTCCTTCTTTTTGTCAGAACTGTTAATATTGGGAACAGTTTTTGGTGAGCATGGTTTGGGAAATATGAAACTAAAATTTATTTTATTTTTATTTATTTTTGATTTAATAAAGTTTTATTTTTCCAAATGTACGGTTGGTTGGACCTATTCATGCATCTTCACCAGCAGCTGGAGCATCTCCACCCTTGGTATTTCTGGTGTAAATTACTTGAGCTCTGTGCTTTGAAACCAGTTTGATAAGTCCTTTGCTAAGGAGCTCCTGAAGGGCTGCCCTGGCAAGGGAGCCTCCAATCTTCAGTCTCTCAGAGACCACAGCTGGAGTTAGAAGTTTATAGTTGGGAACTTCCTTACAGAGTTTGTCGTAGGTAGCTTTGTCAAACAAGACCAAGTTTTTGAGCTTGTCCTGAACTTTGCCTTTGGACCACTTCTTCTTTTTGGCCTTGCCCCTGGATTTGTTCACTGGGTCTTTGTCTTTCTTGGCCGACTTTCCAGCGTCTTTCTTCTTCTTGCCGTCCTTAGGCGGCATTGCGGAGCTCGGAGAGGAGCGGAGAACACTATAATCGCGCTAAGATGTCGGACAAAAAGCGAAACTGAAATTTATTATAGCCTATCCCTTGCTTAAATATCTTTAGTAATAGCAGTTGGCTTCCATAGAGGTCATTGTATTTTTTTTTACAGAAAGAAAAAATGTGTATTACTTTATGAAAGTTACTAGATATGAAGATAATCAATTCAATGAGTTCAGTCAATGAATTCACATTGAGACACCCATACTGGGTGGTTGGCTGTTTCCCTTTGCAAAATGACTTTTTCCTGCACCGCATTCTTGCAGTGAGAGTGATTCTATTTTGAGCCCCAGCAAAATGATAAATAATTATGTACCATGGCCTGTTGGGATCTCTTGCAAGTCACTGAAAATGTGATTGTTCAATCCATGATTGTCAAGGATTTACTCTACTGGGAAAGTACATGGAAATCAATCAAAAAGTTGTACAAATGAAATGAGTTGAAAAATAATTTTCATTACTATGATTTCCCGAGTATGCGCTAAATTAGTTGTAACCAACGGCAGAAAAATCTTTAAATATATGAGAATTAATTTAATCTACCACATAATAAATTCATTCAAGGAAAATGATGAAATCTTAATAGAATGAAGATAGAGGAAGAAATGGACAAAGCTAATCTCTCTAGCTGCTGGGAAAGGGGAAAAATAACAAAGTGACTTTGCTTTCTTCATTATCATAGCTTAATAAAGTATCTGAATTAGAATCTGGTAAACTGGTAATAAAAACCATCTGGGGGAAGAACTGGCAAGAAGGCACAGATCATGTTAATAAGGTGATGGTGATGGTGATGATGGGAAGTACTTCAAAGTCATGATGATGAACTCATCTAACTAAAAGATTAAAAAAAATTGCAAACTAAGAATCACTTGATGACCTTACTAAATATTTGTGCTTTCTATTCACAATAGCAAAGACATAAAATCAACCTAAATGCCCATCAACAGTAAACTGGATAAAGAAAGTGTATATGCTATGGAATGCTATGAAGTCACAAAAAAGAATGAGATCATGTCCTTTACAGGGACATGGGTGGAGCTGGAGGCCACTATGCTCAGCAAACCAGTGCAGGAACAGAAAACCAAATACTGTGTATTCTCACTTAAAAGTGAGAGCTAAGTGATGAGAACACGTAGACATATAGAGGGGAGCAGCACACACTGGGGCCTATAAGATGATGGAAGTGGGGAGGAGGGAGAGGATCAGGAAAAATTACAGTGAGTACTAGGCTTAACACCCGGGAGATGAAATAATCTGTACAGCAAACCCCCATGACACAAGTTTACCTATGTAACAAACTTGCTGTGTACCCCTGAACTTAAAAGTTAAAAAACATTTGTTCGTTGAAAAATGACCACAGGATAGAGTATAATTTCTGGAAGTGGGTCTCACTGTCAGAATATAAAATATGAAAAATGGGAAACTACAACGATGTTGGACTCAACCTCAGAGAAAGAAATCGTATTGTGATATTAGCTCCATACTTCATTTTTATGCTCTGAAAAAAAAAATTCCAAATGGTTCAAAGAAAGAAACAAACAATAGAAAACATACAAATCAGGAAGAGAGCAGAATAGCACATTTATCTTAGTTGTGGCGAGAAGGGTTTCTTTCTGTGTGTGAAAACAACGTCATTTTTCAAACATGACATTAAAAGACAATGGGGTTTTGCTGAGCGAAAAAGGATAAAACAAAATCGGAACGACAGTCAATGGCAAAAATGAATTTTACACTTAAATCTTTTGACATAATACATGGAAAATACATTAAGAATTGCTACAGGCTGGGCGCGGTGGCTCACGCCTGTAATCCCAGCACTTTGGGAGGCCGAGGTGGGTGGATCTCGAGGTCAAGAGATGGAGACCATCCTGGCC